ATTCTGTTTGTGATTCACAAAACAGTTTGATAACAGCATTGGGTAGGTTTGCCCATATACCGGTAGTTATAATTTGTGTGACATCAACTGGAAATGCAGTAATATAAGTATTTAATAGAAGGCAGATCATGCCTTCAACATGACTGCCAAAATAGTAACAAAATCCAACAATTGTTGATAAATTTGTTTCACATGCTGCCATCTTAAAACAAACAAAAAAATATATATTTTGTTTTTTTAAGCCATTATTTTATATATACAACATCAAAAAAATATGCAAAAATAATAAAATATATTTTTAAAGATTCCAGCTCTTTTATAGAGCTGCAGTGCCAGACTCCTACCACAAAAGTGAACAAGGTATGACCAGAAGGTTTACTGTCGCCAATTTACTGCATGTTGTAAAAAAAAAAAAGAAAAGCAAAATGCTTAATTTTATGACCTGCAGGTTAATGTTAATTAAAAATGATTACATTGGCATCTTCACTGTATTACATACTCTTGATCTGTTATTAATATGGCTTCAGTGCATTTATTCGCCTTTTATTCACATATCACTGAATTATAGCTGTAGAATAAAGAACAGTTCAGGCACCCTGGGATAACAAATAGCAGCGTTATTGGGGCACAAACTGCAACATTTCGACCATACTAGGTCTTTATCAAGCTTGATAAAGACCCGGTAGAGTCAAAACGTTGCTACTTTTGCCCCAATAAAACTGCTATTTGTTATTCTGGAGTGCCTGAACCGTTATTTATTCTGCATATCTTGAGAGAGAGGCCTGGCCAGCCCTGGCTTTAGAGCACCTTGGTTACTTGGTGAGTGCTCATGTCTCTTAATTACAGCTGTGGCTGGGTTGGAGAATATTTTAAAAGCCATTTGTGTGTAAATTGTACAATCTGTTTTTTAATTAACTACAAAGTGTTATTGAGTGAATAACTCCCATTCTTGTGTCAGATTATTTATTCAAGTGTTTCCTTTCTTTGTTTTAAGTGCTTCTGTTTGTGTTTTCATTTTAGGCATGTACGAGCTGGAGATGAATTAACTTGGGAATACAACTATGAAATCGGGACTTTTCCTGATAAGGAAATTCCATGTATGTGTGGGCACAAAACATGTAGAAATATCACTATATGATGGTATCATGACATATCTACTACCTTTTCAAAAAAATTCACAAACCTTTCTCCACTTTTATTTATTTAAAAAAAAAAAAAACTCAAATACAAAGAATTTTCATTTTATTTTAAAGAATTACAATCATGTATTATGCTTGCTGTGTCGATGAATTTGTGAAAATATAGTTTTTTATATAATGGATGTTTCCTCTCCTATGGTCTTCATTATTTGTGTGTGCATGTTGTCTTCTTGCAGACCCTTTAACCCCTTAAGGACCAAACTTCTGGAATAAAAGGGAATCATGACATGCCACACATGTCATGTGTCCTTAAGGGGTTAAATAACCTATTTCTCATAAAAGGGTGGTGCCCAGGGCTGCGTGTATATGTCCAAAGATACCAAAGGTTGAGTGGTTCTTAAATGTTTTAAGAACCACAAGATGGCATTATTTCCCCCTAATATGTTTTACAGTGGTGGTTATCTTTTATATTGCATGGTATTCTTAGACTAGGGTTAAAGGTCCAATCACTGGAGTCTGTGCAGCATTTCCCTATGAAATTTACTCTGAATTCTCACTTTAGTTAATAATCCTGACTGTTGGAATATAAATGAAGCAAAGGCTATTTTGCCTACAATATATCATGCAAAACGGACACAGTGATCCAAAGAGTGCAAAGACTGCTGTGCCAAAAAATACATTAACTGAAAAAGTGTGGGTTTAGCATTCCTGAAAAAATGTAGGTGACATTAGGTGACTTTTTTTTGGGGAGATTATGGAAGAAGTGATAACCTACACATAGAATTTCTAATTAGCATAACATTAACACAAAATCAGACTTGGCTAGTAGCCGGGTCAGGAGATTCAAGAGTATCACTAGGTACTTTATTACTTGGAACATATCGTAAGGATACGTTTAAATATGTTTGATAAGGCGAGTGAACATAAAAGAAAGTTCACAGTGCCTGTAGAACAGTGGTCCTCAAACTTTTCAAACAGGGGGCCAGTTCACTGTCCCTCGGACACGGTTGGGAGCCGGACTAAGGTTTGACATTTCTTTTAACGAATTCCTATACATACTGAACCATCACATACAAACACACATACATACATACAGACACGCATAAGGACATACATACACACAAATACATACAGACAGACAAACAGACATACATATGCACATACATATGCACATACATACATACAGATATACATATTAACATATATACTGAAATACATACACATACAGACAGACACATACAGATACATACACACACACAGACAGACATACATACAGAGACAGACATAGCTAATTTTCTTACCTTTCTTTTTGCAGGAGGATGGCTGTGGCTGATGGGAGTCGGCGTGGCTCTTCCCTCCTCGCGGCCTGGCTGTGCCTCTCTTCCCTCCTGCGCGGAGGGAGCTTGGAGGAAGTGACGGGCACTTCCTCCCACCACTACTTTGCGGCTTCTATTTTTAAAATTTTTTTTTTAAAGGGGCCCGGTCGCGCTATTGCACGGCTGCAGCGCTGACCGGGCCCTTACAGATATAGGACTCAGCGGGTGTCCCTAAATGCTGGGGACCGGGTTCAGGACAATGGCGGGCCGGATGCGGCCCACGGGCCGTACTTTGAGGACCCCTGCTGTAGAACATTGTCAGAACAAAAAAAAAAATCTACGGACTGGTTGCAGATTTATTATAAAATGTGAGAACATAGGAAAATCTCTGGTCAAAAAAAACAACAACCTGTGAACAGCACAGCCTTATGAGAGCTAATAGGGAATCTGACCTCATATGAATATTGACCAGTCATCCAATGCCTAGTCTAGATAAAGAGGTCACAAATGAGTAGGCCTAAGCATGTCACCACACCATCCCAAGCATGGTTATAGAGCTGACACCATTTCTCCAAGGACCCAGCTCATGTCCTTAACCCCTTAGGGACACATGACTTGTGTGACATGTCATGATTCCCTTTTATTCAAGAAGTTTGGTCTTGAAGGGGTTACACACAAGCTGTCCAAATCAGAATTTCTAGTTGTCCCTCCCTCAAGTGTTACTACTCCCTTGTCTGTTTCTCTCAAAGTCATTGGGGCTACCATCAGCTCTACCTCGCAGACTCACTGCCTAGGTGTTCTCTTTGTCTCCGACCTCTCATTCACCCCTCATGTCCAGACAATCGCAAAATTCTACTGCTTCCATCTCAAAAACATAGCCTGCATCCATCCCTATTTAACACCTGATACGGCTAAGGTGCTTGTCCGTGCCGCTATTCTCTCGCCGGTGCGGCTCATCTTCCTGTCCGCCCGCACCTTCCATGCCTCCCCCCTCGGTCAGTCCTTACATTGGCCTTCTGTAAGATATAGGGCTCAATTTAAGATCTTGGTACTTGCTTACAAATCTCTACACAATGCTGCTCCGACCTAGCTGTCCTCCCTAATAACATGTCCCATCCAGGCCCCTACGCTCTGCCGAAGACCTACGTCTAACCTCTGCTCGCCTTCTTTATGGCTGCACCATTCCTATGGCACGCCCTTCCCCTCTCTTTTAGACTTTCACCTAGTCTCCACTCCTTCAAAAATAAAAAAATCTTTGAAAACTTGTTTAGGAAAGCCTATCCATTTTAACGGTCAACAGCGTTTTCTTCCCGCACCACTTCCTCTCCTGCAATTGTCATCAAAACAAAACACTAAGCCCTCAGTGAATACTATCATAGCAACCTACTTTTCTACCCTACCCTTACATTTTGTGTCTCTTTACCCTCTCCCTCTAGCATGTAAGCTCATTGAGCAGGGCCTTCAGTCCCTCTGTTCCTGTCTGTCTAACTTGTCTGTTAGTTCACCCATTGTACAGCGCTTTATAAATAATAAGTGCTCAAGTGCATCTTGGGTTTTCTCTGCTTGATTACCCTCTGCAGTCGTGGTTTTACCTAGGTCTTGCCCATGTAGGCATCGCTGATAAATCGCCACGCTGAATATGACTGGTATGCCTGGTATAGGTTTAAGGTGAGAATGTGTTGTTTGACATGATCTTTGGAACAGTCGTGCCCAGATGTTTTATCATATTTGATCAAAAGGCTAATAACTCTTGTCAGAGACTTGCATTTCTGGTCAGTAATGACTGGGCTTTTGCTCCACATTTCCTTCAGGCTCTTCTAATAGCAAATAGTCCTCCTGTGTAGACCAGGATAACCCCACAGGTTCAAAGGTGTGAAACAGGGGCCCTGATTCAGGTTTCCAAAGGCTGGTTCACTACTCATTCAATTGCCATGATAGGCCTCAACTTCCAGGAGATCCAATCTCTGTAACATCAGGGTCATCCTGTACAGCCAAATGAACCGTATGGCTCCAACTGTTGTGCTATAGCTAGTGCTCACAACTGAAGATAAAATTATAGTGATAAATTACCAGATAATTGGCTACCAAGCAAATGCTCTGAGGAGCATCGCAACCAATTTTAACCACACACTTAACATACAAAAAAATTGAGTAATTTTATTTTTCTTTTCACACCTTTAAAAAAAAAAAAAAAAACATTTTTAAATATATATCCACAATTGTTAAATAGGCTTTTAAATGTTTCCCAGTTGCTCTGCCTCTGCACACAGTTTCTTATAATTGCAGCAATTTTCTATCCTGAAGTACAAAGTGTGTGATTTCTGTTCACTGCCTCAGAAACTATGATTTATTATTATTATTATTATTGGTATTTATATAGTACCAACTAATTCCGCAGCGCTTGACAAGATTATGAAAGGGGGAAATAAATATAATAAATTAGACAATTACAGAGTGACATAGGAACAATAGGTAGATGAGGACAGCAAGGGTGTCAGCCACAAAACAAAGTGGAAAAGTAGCAGAGCTGGAGGTGAGCGTGCAGTGTGGCTCTTTTAGGAGCTTTGGATATGTATAAATAAGTTACTCTGGGAGTCCATAAGCATTTAGCCTGAAGTATTGCTGATTGCTTTAAAAAAAAAAATTAACAGCCACGACATCTTGTAAGCACATCACATGTCGTGAAGAGCAAATTGCGGGGGCCGCAGCAGACATGACCTCACAGTAAAGGTAGAGATAAAAAAAAAAAACATGTTGCGCCAAACGTTGGTGTAGAGATGTTAAACAACAACAATAATTATTATAAAAATTTGTAAAATAGTATTTACAGAATAATCCCAAATTCAATTGATAGTAGAATTCTTGATAGGGGAGGCAAAGTACAACAGATAGTGTAGTGTGTTCACCAGCTTATGCGGATTTTGTGATATGAAATGACAAGGACGGCAAAGTAGTGTAGTATTGTATATGGTTAAGGTAAGCAATAAGGTTAAAAAAAAAATGTACTCGCAAACAAGGAGCTATATATTAGCCAGTGGTGTACTAGGGGGGGGGGGGGCGGTCCACCCTGGGTGCCACTCACTAGGGGGGTGCCCGGGGCGCATTTTCACAGGGGCAGCATTACGCCGCCCCTGTGTCTTATGTAAAGGGACCGGCCGCTTACGCTCATTTCCTATCCAGTAGCAGCAGGGTCCTCTGTTCTCGCGATCCGCGAGAGTGTTGGCGCAGGTTGCTATGGAAACCCGCGGCAACGCTCTTGCGGATCGCGAGAACAGAGGACCCTGCTGCTACTGGATAGGAAATGAGCGTGGAGAGACGAGTACTGGGCCACTCTTCACTGCCCAACTAAAGCTGTGCCACCAGACCACCAGTCGAGGAGGACGGGAGTGACAGGTAAGTGTCAGGGCACTTCCCAGCACTTACTGCACACTATGCACACACTGCATTCACTATACACACACACTATGCACACACTATAAACACTGCACACACTATAAACACTACACACACTGCATTCACTATACACACACTGCACACACTGCACTCACTATACACACACTGCACTCACTATACACACACTATACGCACACACACTATACACACACTGCACTCACTATACACACTGCACACACTATACACACTACACACTGCACAGACTATACACACACTGCACACACTATACACACTGCACTCACACTGCACACACTATACACACTGCACTCGCTATACACACACTGCATACATGATACACACACTGCATACATTATGCATACAAGCTGCATTCACTACGCAAACACACACTTATACATGTGTATCTGTTTGTGTGTCGGTGTTTGTTTTGGTGTGTCTGTGTATCTGTATGTATGTGTGCCTGTGTGTCTCTGTATGTGTGTCAGTATTTGTCTGTGGATGACTGTGTTTCTATGTAACTGCATGTGTGTACCTCTGTATCTGTATGTGTGCCATTGTGTGTAAATGTGAGTATATGTGTGTATGTGCATACATCTCAGCATTTCGCCTAAACTACACACAAATACAACCCTGCATCCAAATGTCAACACTACATATAAACACACCACCATATTCAAAAACCACACTACAGAAAAATGCACGCCTGCATTCAAATGCCAATACGTGCAAACACACCCGTACATTCACTCAAACATACTCCATACAAAAACATGCTTACATTAAAAATATACAAATACTGCTCAGTGCTAAATAAATTTAAAAATTGTGGTTCTTTTTACATTTTAAGTTGGTGGAGGGGGGGTGACAAATAAAGGATCCGTCCCGGGTGCCAAATGCTCCAGGTATGCCCCTGATATTAGCTCTTATGTATCAGCATCTGACAATATAATCCTTGTCATGGGATATGTAGTACACACACAGAATCTTT